GATAGTTGATTTTATTTTGCATTTAGTTAGTATTTGGTCGGTCTACTTTCTTTGCTGTGGTTTTACTTTCTCTAGTGACATCTATTTAGCCTAAGGAACACTTCCATCTGGAGCAGTCCCTTTAAAATACACTGTAGAGATGGTTTGTGGGAGGTAAGTTTCCTCAGTTTTTGCTTATCTGGGAATTGTTTAATCCCTCCTTCAAATTTAAATGATAATCTTGCTGGACACAGTATTCTTGGTTCAAGGCCCTTCTGTTTCATTGCATTAAATATATCATGCCACTCCCTTCTGGCCTGTAAGGTTTCTGTTGAGAAGTCTGATGATAGCCTGATGGGTTTTCCTTTTTAGGTAATCTTTTTTCTCTCTCTGGCTGCTTTTAATACTCTGTCCTTGTCTTTGATCTTTGCCATTTTAATTATTATATGTCTTGGTGTTGTCCTCCTTGGGTACCTTGTATTGGGAGATCTGTGGACTTCCATGGTCTGAGAGACTATTTCCTTCCCCAGACTGGGGAAGTTTTCAGCAATTATTTCTTCAAAGACACTTTCTATCCCTTTCTTTCTCTCTCCTTCTTCTTGGACTCCTATAACACGAATATTGTTCTGTTTGGATTGGTCACATGGTTCTCTTAATATTCTTTCATTCCTAGAGACCCTTTTATCTCTCTCTGCCTCAGCTACTCTGTATTCCTGTTCTCTGATTTCTATTCCATTAACAGTCTCTTCCACCTCACCAGGTCTGCTCTTAAATCCTTCCATTGTTTGTTTCATTTTTGTTTTCTCCCTCTGAAATTCATCCCTTAGCTCTTGCATATTTCTCTGTAGCTCCATCAGCATGCTTATAACTTTTATTTTGAATTCTTTTTCAGGAAGATTGGTGATTTCAGTCTCACCATGCCCTCTCTCTGGTGTTTGAGGGATTTTGGACTGAACAAGGTTCTTCTGCCTTTTCATGGCGATTGGAGTGGTCGCTGGCAAGTGGCACTTGTGTCAGCTGGGAGAAAAAGTCCCTTCCTGCTTTCTGGTCACCTTGCCCATCTCTGCTGCCTGTGCCGGTCAACCGCAAACAGGGAGCAGCCTCTGGTTTAATCCTCTGAGCTTCCATGGGCGGGGCAGCCCTTAGGATGGCTTAGGACACTGGCAGGGTTTGCAGGTGAGCAGTGCATGTTCGCCACAAGAACAGAGCCCCTTCATGCTTCCCAGCCTCTGCACTGTTCTCCTCTTTCTGTGCTGGTCAACTGCACACAGGGGACAGCTTCTAGGTTAATCCCCTGAGCCACCGTTGGGGGGGCAGCCCTCAGGATGGCCTAGGGCACTGGCAGGAGTTGAATGCAAGCAGTGTGTGCTTGCTGAGAGAGCAGAGCCCCTTTGTGTCTTCTGGACTCTGTGCCAGTCTCCGCTGTCTGTGTCAGTTCTCCGCACACAAGGGGCAGCCTCTGGGTCTGGGCTGGTTATTGGCGCACAGGGAGAAGCCTCTGTGTGGTTGCCGTGGGTGGGGCTGCTCCCCAGCTGTTCTGCAGCAATGGTGGGTCAGCAAGTTTGCTTGCACTGCCGGTAGTGGGGAATGAATAGCAGGCTGCTTATCACCGTGAGGGGCTTCAGAGCTGCATTGCCACCCAGGAGGTTAGGGCACCCGAAGTTCCTTAAAGTTCCCAGCCTGCTGGGCTGAGCATGTCAAGATGATTTTGTCCACTTGTTAAACCCTTTTCCCTTTAAGACTTTTAAAGTGCCTACTTTACTTTTGTCCCAGGGCAGCCAGCTGTGGGGACCTGTTCGCAGTCTTTGTCTCGGATTTTGCTTTTCCATTCCTCTAATATCCAGTACACCATGCAACGTGTGTCTGTCCTCCCCATGCAGATTACTAGGGCTAGTTATTTAGCAGTCCTGTGCTTACACTCCCTCCCCACTCTGATTCTTTTCCTCCCACCGGTGAGCTGGGGTGTGGGGAGTGCTCAGGTCCCGCCGGGTCATGGCTTTGTAGCTTGCTCTTTTCCATGAAATGTTGAATTTTCACAGATGTAGATGTAGCCTGGCTGGTATACTGTATCTTCTGGTTATTTTTTTAGAAATAGTTGTATTTGCTGTCTTTTCAAAATACATATGGTTTTGGGAGGAGATTTCCACCACCCTATTCACACTGCCATCTTGAGAATCTCCTTGAGGCTCTTCTTGTGGCCTAATATGTGATCTATTCTGGAAAATGTTCCATGTACACTTGAGAAAAATGTGTATTTTGCTGCTTTTGGATGAAGTTTTCTGTAGATTATCTGTTGGGTCCATTTGATCTATTATATTGATCAATGCCTCTCTTTCCTTATTTATTTTCTGTCTGGTTGATCTATTGGTGTGAGTGGTGTGTTAAAGTCTCCTGAAATGAATGTGTTGCAATCCATTTCCTCCTTTAATTCTGTTAGTATTAGTTTCACATACTTTGGCACTCCTATGTTGGGTGCATAGATATTTATAATGGTTATATCTTCTTTCTGGAGTAACCCCTTTATCATTATGGTCTGTCCTTTGCCTCTTGTTACTTTCTTTGTTTTGAAAGATATTTTGTCTAAGTACTGCTTCTCCTGCTTTTTTCTCCCAGTATTTGCATGTAATATCTTTTCCATCCCTTCACTTTTAGTCTATGTCTTTGGGTCTGAAATGAGTCTCTTGTAGGCAGCATATGGATAGTTCTTATTTCCTCATCCTTTCTGCTACTCTATTTCTTTTGATTGGCACATTCAGTCCATTTACATTTATGGTGATTATTGACAGATATGTACTTATTGTCATTTTATTGTTTTCTGCTGTCTTTTATATCTCCTTTCTGTTCCTTTCTTCTAGTCTTATATTATTTTATTGTTATTGATGGTTTTCTTTACTGTGGCAATTGGATTTCTCTCTTTTTAAAATTTATTTTTTTTGTGTGTATATTTATTTCAGGCTTTAGTTTTGTGGTTAGCAAAGGGTCAAGGATAGCTTTACTATTTAACAGTCTACCTGAAATTGCTGATTACTCTATTTCAAACACAATCTAACGGTACTTTTTTTCCTCCTCTACATTTTTCATATTAGATGTCATAATCTGCACTTTTTGTGTATCCCTTGACTCATTTTGTGTATACTTGATTTTGCTTCTTTTAATTTTGTACTTGCTTGGTAATTAGTTGGTCTACTACCTTTACTGTGGGTTTATTTTCACTGGTGAAAGCTATTTAGCCTTAGGGTCATTTCCATCTACAGCAATCCCTTTAACGTATCATGTAAGACTGACTTAGTGGTGGCAAATTCCTTCAACTCTTGTTTATCTTTAAATTAATCTGTACTTCAAATTTAAATGATAATCTCACTGCGTAGAGGATTCTTGGTTGGAGGTCCTTCTGTTTCAGTACATTAAATATATCAAGCCACCTCCTTCTGGCCTGAAGAGTTGGGATTTCTTTTATAACTAATATTTTTCCTCTCTCTGGCTGTTTTCAACACTTTCTCCTTATCCTTGATCTTTGCCATTTTAATTATTATATGTCTTGGTGTTGTCTTGATGGGGTTCCTTTTGTTAGGGGATCTCTGTGCTTCCATGACCTGAGTGTCTATATCCTTCCCCAGATTGGGGAAGTTTTTAGGAATTATTTTCTTAAGAAAAATAATTCCTTTGTGTTTTTCTTCTCCTTCTGGTACCCCTATTATGTGAATATTGTTTCATCTGAATTGGTCACATAGCTCTCTTATCATTCTTTCATTTCTAGAGATCCTTTTTTTCTCTGTGTTCCTCAGCTTTGTTGTTTTCCTATTCTCTAATTTCTACTTCATTTACTCTCTTGTCTATATGATCTAATTTACTTTAAAATCCCTCCATTGTATGTTTCATTTCAGATACTGTATTCTTCGGCTCTGAGTGGCTCTTTTTCAGGTTTTTTTATCTCTTTGTTGAAGTCCTCCTTGATATCTTGGATACTTTTCTCTAAATCAGTAAGGATGTTTATGACTTTTACTTTGAAATTTTTATCAAGAAGATTGGTGATCTGTGTTTCATTTAGCCTTCTTTTCAGGGTTGTGTCTTATACTTTCCATTGGATCAAATTCCTCTGCCTGCTCATTTTGTCAGGGGTTCTGTGTTTCTTACTTTGTATTAGATGTCTCTGGTATGCTTTCTTGTCTAAAGAGTAATAGCTTTATGACGAAGGTGTGCTATGGTGCCCAGAAGCACAATATTCTTTACTCTCTAGTGCCTGGTTCTATTTTGCTGGGGCCCCAGTTGTTGGCATGCCATGGATGGGGTGCCTTTCTGTCGGCTTCTGTAGTGGTCTAAGTCTGGGTGGGAAGTTCGCTTGAGCTGCCTTTGTGATCAGCTCAGAAATCTCTGTTGAGCTCACAGTGAGAGAGGATGCCCTCTACCTGGCCCTTTTCTGTGTGGTCCTCTCTTCTTCCTCAGATGTAGGGAGTCTGTTCTGCAGGTCCTCAGGTCATTTTCAGGTCTAGTTGCATTTGCTGTATTTTCCCCTTTCATGTGTTTTTGAGAGGTTTCCATCTTGCTTTCCCATTCTGCCATCTTTAATCCCTACCACATTCCTTTTAACATTTGCAGCATTTATTCTTAGTACAGAGCTTGCCCACCTGCCCATGCTCACTCCTTCATACTGTCCCTCACAACTGGCCATGCTGAGGGAGGAAGGGGGTAGTTTGGGCTCCTGATGTGTGGGGAGGAGCTGGAGGCAGAAACAAGCTTATTGGCCAGGATCCTATGACCTGCCAGTGTGTCAGCACTGGGAAGGCAGGAAGAGAGAAATGAGGAGGGAGGGTCTGGGCTTTAGGACTCCTGCTTCTGAGGGAGGCTGTGGCCATCTGACTCTTTTAATATGGAGGCCCAACCCACCTAATGTGCTTATTTGTATTATCTCTCTCCAGCAAACCACACACATACAAACACTTATGTCAAGATACTGGAAAATGTGATAAGTACTAATATCTCTGTGAATTTATTATAAAGCTCATGGCCAGAGTTCAACTTACTTTCCTTTGTCCTTCAGCCATTCTGGATTCTTTTCTTCTTCTTTTAAATCAGAAAGTTCAGGAATATCAGTATTCATTGTTCTTTGTGCCTCTGCTTGTTTGTGTAGCCACTGAAATGAGAATGAAGTCTAAGAACACAAAGGTCTTAGTTCCATTAAGTTACTTTTAGATTTTCCATCTTCCTACATAAGATGGAAATACTATTTGTAATGTACTGAATGTTTTTATCCTACAAAATCTGTATGTTGAAGCCCTAACTACCAATGTGATAGCATTTGGAGTGAGGCCTTTGGTAGGCAATTAGGCTTAGATGAAGTCATGAGGGTACGGTCCCCATGATTGGATTAGTGTTCATATAAAAAGAAGAGACCAGACCAAATAGTCTCCTACCCTTGCCACCCTTCTGCCCCCCCACCCTACCCACATACCTCAATCTTGACTTCCCAGCCTCCAGAACTGTGAGAAATAAATGTCTGTCAATTAAGCCACCCAGTCTAGGGCATTTTGCTATTGTAGCCTGAGTAGAGTAATACCCTGATGATGATGATTCTAACTTTCCTAAAATTTTCTGGGAGTTAATTTGATTATTTTACTGGCTTATAACACATTTGTTTTTTCTATACTGAAAAATATATTAAAACTAATTTTAAATAATATAGTTTTGAAATTATAGAAATAGTTTTACAAATAATAAAATAGAGATTATGTTGTTTAATAAGAAAAAAGTTTTTATCAATTGTCATTGTCTTAGGATCTTCAATTATTTCCACAACTTTTCAATTTAGAGAGGCATCAGTTTACACTCTGCAGTCAAAAAATCCAGTTCTTAGGGTTTATACAACTAAGACACAATGCTTGAAATCTCAGGGTCTAGGAATTTATAAATGAATGAAAGACTAATTCTGAAATGTCACATTAAAAATACCTGATATTAATAATTAATTGTAAAAACATATTAATAATACATTCCTAAATCTCTTGTTATCAGAACACATTTACAAACATAGAAAGGCGTATCTGATAAAACAAATGGCAAGTGCAACAGTTTACCTCCTGGAATAAGCAATGTTTTTGTCTATTAAATCTGTTCTTTCACCAGTACTCTGGAGCAAAAAAATAGCCTGCAAAATATTTTTTTTTCCTCATAAGGAAATACTTTTTCTCATAAGGAAAGTATATTCATGAAGTAATATCTTTAGTGTAATGAATACTTAAGAAATTTAGAACCAGTACTGGTTTTAACAGGTGAAATTAAAAATATTTTCATTTGTGGTCATTGTAACTAATAGCAAGTATATCTACCTCTTCTTCTTCTGCTACTTGTGATTCCCGGAGAGCAGTTGGGAATACTCGAGGGGTGAAGTTGATTTTAATACTGCTAGCAGAACGAGGAGCAGGAATACTGTTTTCCTTTAACTTCTCAAAAAACATGTTTTCTGAATTTCTCCCTTTGAAAGCAATATTAGCAGGTGAGTTATTAATCTCTCATTTTCTGGTCAAACTGACTTTTAAAGTAATTACACATCAAAACCACTTCTAAAATTCTATACAAATACACCAAAGATACTTTCCACAAGAAGGGATATAAAATCCATCACTTACAGTACTGCAGCTAATTATCTGTTCTTTAATCAATGACTCCAGCTACTTTGCTGGGGTTCTGTTTGTTAAACCACAGGGTCTAATTTACATTCACTCCAGGGGAGCACACTCTAGGTAACTCTACATACACTATAAAGGAGCCATCACTGCCAACACTACCTCTACTTCCTTGAGCTCCCATAGTAGTATCTTCTATAAACTTCCTTGTAATGGTGTAAAAATTTTCAGCCATCAGAGATAGCTAATGAGGACAGGCAAAGATGATGAAAAGCTATACCTTCTTATAAAGGTAGTTATATGTAGTGATGGTAAAGCCAACAGATGAGGAGAAATTAATGTGTTGGAATATAAACTATATGAATAAAGGGAAAGAAACACAACTTGTAAAAGTACCAAAAATATAATACATAGATTTAAAAGGCAAATATCAAAATTTTAAGAAAAATAGATTTCCACAAATATGACAGTAATATACTTGATATAAAATGAATATGTATAAATAAGGAAAAAACCTTCTAAATTAAAAAATTTGAAAATGACCTAAAATGACATTTCAAAGGGAGGGAGGAATAGGGCAGAAAGGAAAGAATAAGGACTCAAAGAAAGCAGTATCAACAAAAATTTGAGTGAAAATTTAGTACAGATGCTTGTGGTTGAGACTGCTATCTTCCAGTATCCTATCCATTCTACCCTCCTCCTCTTAATAATAGAGTTCAAGTTCTAAGCTAGGCCCATGACTGTGCCAGGCTAGAATCTACATAACCCAGCCTGCCTTAAGATTAGCTGTGGTTATATGCCAAACCTGAAAGAACAGAATGTGAACAGAAGTGATTATGAATTTTCTTCTTATGGGTAAATCTGCTTGCTATAAAATTCCTCTTTCTCCTTTCTCACTAGCAAAAAAGAATGCCAAATGCAGCACCCAGAGACAGAAGCTAAATGATATAATGACAGAGGTGGCCCAACAAGTCTGGATGGCCTTGTGGAAACAAACTCATCTACCAGGCATAGATAGGTCACTCTTCCATAACAAGTATTAGATTACAGAGAACTAAATTCCATCTTATTTGAACTGTAATTTTGGACCTCTTTATCATGAACCTACCTAATTAATACATCATCCTAAGAATTTTATATCCAAGTAAACTGTTGCTTACTTGTGAAGGCAAAAGCATTTCTAGATATATAAGAACTAAGTAAACACACCACTTAACCATCTTTTCTGAATAAATTACTCAAGGTAATGTTCTAGAACATGGGGAAATAAAATTATGAACCCAGAAGTGGGGAACTTGAGAGTAAAAATGAAAAAGGATGGGTTTTCTAACAGTGGAGAACACTATAAAAATGTAAGATTTTTAAATGTTGGTACAAAAGGAAAATAGAATAAAAAAGTAAAAATCAAGTATACAACTTCAGATTATTATACTAATTATTACTAGGATACAAAACAGAGGAAATAGGCATTAATTCTTCCATAATGAGAAGTCAAAAATTATTTTGTTATTAATTTGCTAAACATCTTTAAATGTTTATTAAAGTGACCACTAGTTACATTACAAATAGGGTATCTAGTTTCCAAACTCTTACAATAAAATACACAACAAAACATAAAATTAGCTTTCTGTTTCTAGCAGCACAGATTAAATTTTATGAATTTTTACAATTTTAAAAACAGATAAAAAGCTATGAACACATAACATGCTTGATAAAAATATAACAAATAAATGGCTCAAACACATAGTTATGTTCAAAAATTAAACAAAGGAAAAATCTTATCAGCAATTTACAGATGTCAAAAAGTTGTTTGGAAAGATATCTATATCTGTATCTGAAATTATACATACATATATACACACACACATATATATATTATATAAACTAGGGGTTGAATATAAAGGCTGGAACTCTAGTGCTGATATAGGTGCAGAGGTGGGGAGCTGGAAATGAAACTAGAAGCTCAGAAGAGCTACCCTCTCAGAGTAAAGGACACCTAAAAATCTCTGCCCACTGGTCCAGAAAAGTGAAGCCTGTCTCTTCCTGGGGCTCTGGATAGAAGAAAACATCTCTTGTGAGAAATCAAAACTCCAAGTATCCTTTATAAGCAATTCTTACTTCTGCAAACCAGAACATGAGACTTCCTCATATGCACACATTAAAAAAAAAAATCCTTGCTGAAGATGAGCATACAAATTATACAAGTTACATGAGGAAATAATACAGTGCAAAGAATGACCAGCCAATATGACAAACAGGAGGGTCAGCTCCCTAAGAATTTTAAACAGAACAATCTGAATGAAACTATAATAATTTTATATTATATATTAAGTATATATATTTTATGTTATATAATATAAATATATATAATATAAATTTATATATATTTTATATTTTATATTAACCAAGTAACATGCTCACTTAAAAGCAAAGACAGACTAAAATCCACAATGAAAAATAATAGACTAGTGACAAAAAAACAAATAAGAGTGAATAAAACAAATAGAACCTCCAAAATGAAAAATATCGTTAATAAAGTTTAAAATCTCTAGGATAAGTTTATCACCTCATTAGGCATAACACCTCATAAGCTTTGGCAAACAAGAAAATATATCTGAGGATAGTATACAGAATGTGGCCAAGAAAGATAAAGAGAACAGAGGGTAACAATTGATAGCTTAGAACTTCCCAGCACTGATTGAAGACTTAATTACTTTGAGTGAAAGTATACTCCAAGTTTTGATATTATAAGACAAAAAAATATAAAATTGCACTGAGATTAATAAAATTGAAGTACACCAAAGAGAAGGATTTTAAAGCACCAGAGACAAAGGATGGATTATCTTACAAAGATTAATAGTTAGTTCAAAAGCAGATTTCTCAGCAGAAACATTAGAGGGCAAAAAGCAACAGAAAAATATCTTCATATTACTAATGGAAAGTAACTGTCAACCTGGAATTCTATAACCAGCTAAACCATCCTTCAATAACAAGTATAATATGAAGATAATAACTGAATTTAACACTAAGAGATCTTCATTAAAGAACGACTAAAGGATTTACTTGAAGGGAAGATAATCTGACCCAGAAAGAAGTGACATGTAAGAAGCAAAGATAAATAGAAATCAGACCAAAAATGACAAATTAAAAATGGAAATGATAGGACAATTAGACATGCATCCACAGGATGCTGTAAGTCCAACATTCAAATAATAGGAATTTTAAGAAGGAAGAAAGGAGAAACAGAGGACAAGAAATAGTTTTTTAATCTCGGCTAACTGAGGGTATTCATAGACACTGGGTAAATACGTATTTATTAAGTGGATGGACAAGATGGAAGAAAGGAACCAAACTTCTCAGGCATCTGTAATGATGCCTGTAAAATAAGAACAAAGGACTTCTGGTGTAAAAATCCAAAAAAAACTAATTTATGTATTTTTTTATCTCTACCATGTTTAATTTCCCTTATACCCATGGATGATTTTTTAAATATCTTTAGAATACTTCTTATCTATAAAAGTGTTCTTTGGATTCCAATAGTATTTGAAACCATCCAATTTGTTTAGCAGTATTTGAAATACAAAAGGAAATGTTTTTGTATACTCTAGTTGTTATCAATATATTATTGAAATGGCATTAAAAAAGGAGGTAATGTGGTAATTAAAGTGCATGTAAATATTAAACCATAATAAAATATACAAATCTAATAATGGTTACTCTTTAATATTCACTCAAAATGACTTCAACACATCTCACTGTTGAAGTAGTAAAGAGCCTAGTAGGAAGAGTATAGGTTTCAGATGCACAGACATCCAGGTTCAAATCCCACAGGTTTACTTTTGGTAGTTGATTATCCTTTCCAAACACCTACTTCCTCTAAAATAAGAATAGCAGTACTTATTCCAAAGTGTTATGAGCATTGAGTGATACAACTAATAAAATAGCCTAGAATAGAGATTACCCAATAAACATATATTATTACATAAGTGATTTTACTACAAAATTATCCTTTTACTAAATATACCCAAAATAAACTTCAATATTCTATAACCAGATAAAATTAAACTCTTGACTTTCAATAAAGAAATATGTTCTTTTACCTATTTTTCAACACATCAGGATCAAAGGCCAGAGGAGTCCTTGTGTACTTAAGACTAAGTTTGCTTAATAGTATTCATTTACCTGATTCATGTGAGGAAAAAGTATTTAATGAAATTTATAGTTTCTTATCATTAAGAAAATAAATGAATGCTCCTGACACTGCTAGTGTACTCCAAGTCTAGTTGGATCTGAGTTCAACATATTTAACACCTGCAAAAATTTCAAAATGAAGCACACAGGCAAAATCAACACTGAATCCTTGTTTTATAATGAACATTTCACTACTTCCTAGAAGATGAAATGTCTTTCACCTCAGTCTTTGTATTGTAGTACTTATTCCCAATTTACCAAAATAATAACCTAAAATTGTAAAGAGATTACAAAAAAAAAAGTAACATCTTTGCCAACAGCATTCACTTTCCCAGAAAATATTAATCATTGTACCTTTTGTGGCAAGACTTCTAGGTGCTGAATTTCTAGTATGACTTTTCGATTTTAATTTTTTTTTCTCTTCTGCAGTTAGTTTCTCTTGATGTAATTTCTCTTTTCTCTGAATTCCTTTTTGTTCTTCAGCTCTTCTTTGATGTTCTTTCCAGGCTTCCAATTCTTTAGTTGCTTTTATCCGTTCACTTTCTTTAATATCTTCTATTTTTTTCCTCTCATCTTCTTCAATCTTTAAAAGTTAAAATTACCAAACCCATTAAAACATATCAAAAGCAACATTTTTTAAATAAGATATTCATTACAATAGTTATTCTTACCTCTAAACTCTTGCCCTTATATCTGTAGCAATAGTTAGTACTGAATAAAGAATTAAAATGGGAACAATGAACTCCCAGTGATTTAGGTATCATGGAACACAGGATTTAGTTCCAGATTTGCAATGAACTATTGATTTGATCTTAGGCAATCCCTTTTGCGAGCCCCAGTTTACACGTATGTAAAATGGGGGCACACATTCAATTAGATGATATCTCAGGGCTTTGTCAAAAAAATTGAATATTAGGAGGGGAGGAGCCAAGATGGCGGCATGAGTAGTTCAGCAAAAAAAAGACATATATTTTTGAAAATACAACAAATACAACTATTCCTGAAAGAGAGAACAGTGGATACAGTACAACAGCCAGGCTACATCTACATCTGCGAGAACTCAGCATCACATGAAGGGGGTAAGATACAAGCTGTGGCCTAGCGGGACCCGAGCACATCCCCCACCCGAGCTCCCCGGCAGGAAGAAAGGAGTCGGAGGGAGTGAAAGCCCAGGACTGCTAAACAACCAGCTCTAGTAATCTGCACCAGGAGCACAGACAGATGGTGCATGCTGTGCTGGATATTAGACAAATGGAAAAGCAAAACCTGCAAGCAGATCCACGCAACTGGCTACCCTGGGACAAAAGAAAAACAAGTGCTTTTTGAAAGTCTTAAAGGGGCAGGGACCTCACAGCTGGACAAAATCGTCCCAGCACACTCAGCCCAGCAGCTGGGAATCCCAGGGAACTCTAGGAGACCTAACCCCCTGGGCAGCAGCACAGCTCTGAAGCCCCTCACGGCAATAGGCAGCCTGCCAGTCATTCCCCCGGATGGCACGGACCCCAACACACAGGCCCAGTAAAGTGAGAGCGGCTGCATGCGCCCACAGCGGGGAGCAAATGCATGTGCCAGTGTTGGTGGCACCAGAGGAGCCCAGGAGTGGCCCACGTGACACGGCGGTGACAGTGGCCGAGCGGCCTGGGAGCATCCATGCCTCCAACAGCCGCCGAGAATCTCCTCCTGGTGCACACCTGCCCAGGCAAGACCCAAAGGCTGCCACCAGCACGAAACTGCCTGGAGGGGGCACTGTTCCCACAGGACAGCACACCCTGTGCGCCTCCCACTCCCCGCAGGGCTTTGCACTACCTTGATGGAGAACTGTGTGACCAAACCAAATGGAACAATATTTTCATTATAGGGGTACCAGAAGAAGAGAGAGAAAAAGGGATAGAAAGTGTTTTTGAAGAAATAATTGCTGAAAACTTCCCCAAACTGTGGGAGGAAATAGTCTCTTAGACCATGGTCACCCACAGAACTCTCAGCAAAGGGACCCAAGGAGGATAACACCAAGACACATATTAATTAAAATGGTAAAGATCAAAGACGAGGACAGAGTATTAAAGGCAAACAGAGAGAGAAAAAAGGTCACCTACAAAGGAAAACCCATCAGGCTATCCTCAGACTTCCCAAAAGAAACCTTACAGGCCAGAAGAGAATGCCATGATATATTTAATGCAATGGAACAGAAGGGCCTTGAACCAAGAATACTGTATCCAGCACAATTACCATTTAAATATGAAGGAGGGATTAAGCAATTCCCAGACAAACAAAAGTTGAGGAAATTTGCCTCCCACAAACCACCTCTACAGGATATTTTAAAGGGACTGCTCTAGATGGAAGCACTCCTAAGGCTAAACAGATGTCACCAGAGAAAATAAAATCACACCAAAGAAAGCAGACCAACCAAATACTAACTAAAGGCAAAAAATAAAATCAACTACTCACAAAAGCAGTCAAAGGAAACACAAAAGAACAGAGAATAAAACACCTAACATATAAAGAATGGAGGAGGAGGAATAAGAAAAGAGAGAAATAAAGAATCATCAGACTGCGCTTACAATAGCTTAATAAGTGAGTTAAGTTAGACAGTTAGATAGTAAAGAAGCTAACCTTGAACCTTTGGTAACCACGAATCTAAAGCCTGCAATGGCAATAAGTACATATCTTTCAATAATCACCCTAAATGTAAATGGACTGAATGCACCAATCAAAAGACACAGACTAACAGAATGGATAAAAAAGCAAGACCCATCTATATGCTGCTTATAAGACACTCATCTCAAACCCAAAGACATGCACAGACTAAAAGTCAAGAGATGGAAAAAGATATTTCATGCAAACAATAGAGAGACAAAAGCAGGTGTAGCAATACTGGTATCAGACAAAATAGACTTCAAAACAAAGAAAGTAACAAGAGAAAAAGAAGGACATTACATAATGATAAAGGGGTCAGTCCAACAAGAGGATATAACTATTATGAATATCTATGCACTAGATATTTACAGGACCACCAACATATGTGAAACAAATACTAACAGAATTAAAGGAGGAAATAGAATGCAATGCTTTTATTCTAGGACACTTCAACACACCATTCACTCCAAAGGACAGATTCACCAGACAGAAAATAAGTAAGGACACAGAGGCACTGATCAAAACACTAGAAAAGATGGACTTAACAGACATCTATAGAACTCTACACCCAAAGGCAGCAGGATACACATTCTTCTCAAGTGCACATGGAACATTCTCTAGAATAGACCACTTACTAGGCCACAAAAAGAGCCTCAGTAAATTCAGAAATATTGAAATTCTACCAACCAACTTCTCAGACCACAAAGGCATAAAACTAGAAATTAATTGTACAAAGAAAACAAAAAGGCTCACAAACACATGGAGGCTGAACAACATGCTTCTAAATAATCAAGCTGGAAAACCTAGGAGAAATGGACAACTTCCTAGAAAAATACAAGCTTCCAAGACTGACCAAGGAACAAACAGAAAATCTAAACAGACCACTTCAGCAAAGAAATTGAATCAGTAATCAAAAACTACCCAAGAACAAAACCCCTGATCCAGATGGATTCACTGCTGAATTTTATCAGACATATAGAGAAGACATAACACCCATTCTATTTAAAGTTTTCCAAAAAATAGAAGAGGAGGTAAGACTTCCAAACTCATTCTATGAAGCCAGCATCACTCTAATACCCAAACCAGGCAAAGATACCACAAAAAAAGAAAATTACAGACCAATATTCCTGATGAACATAGATGCAAAAATACTCAACAAAATATTAGCAAACAGAATTCAAAAATACATCAAGAGGATCATACACCATGATCAAGTGGGATTTATCTCAGGGATGCAAGGATGGTACAACATTTGAAAATCCATCAACATCATCCACCACATCAACAAAAAGGACAAAAACCACATGATCATTTCCATAGATGCTGAAAAAGCATTGAACAAAATTCAACATCCATTCATGATAAAAACTCTCAACAAAATGGGTATAGAGGGCAAGTACCTCAACATAATAAAGGCCATATATGATAAACCCACAGCCAACATCATACTTAACAGCGAGAAGCTGAAAGCTTTTCCTCTGAGATCGGGAACAAGACAGGGATGCCCACTCTCCCCACTGTTATTCAACATAGTACTGGAGGTCCTAGCCACAGCAATTAGACAAAACAAAGAAATACAAGGAATCCAGATTGG